TAGTGAGAACCCATCTCTACCAAAAAAAAAAAAAAGCCAGGCATAGTGGTGTGCACCTGTAGTCCCAGTTACTCGGGAGGCTGAGGCAGGAGGATTGCTTCAATCCAGGAGTTCAAGGTTACAGTGAAGTGTGATTGTACCAGTGCACTCCAGCCTGGGTGACAGAGTGAGACCCTGTCTCTAAAACAATAAAAAAAAAAGGTGCAGAATTTTATTATAGATTACTGTGCTATGTATTTTTGGAAATCATACTTTTAGGTAAAAGGTACAGCTTCCAGGAGAAGAGGCCAAAACAAACTATGAATTGCAGCGACCTAATCTTTCATTTGTATTACTCCACCTGCTACTGCTTCCCTCATTGAGCTGTTTTCTGAGTTGAGCTTAATGCCATGACAACCCCTGAGTACAAATGGCAGCCTTGACCCAACATGAGTAGATGGAGCCTTTGTTTTCCAGTTTTCATGGGTACCGATGGGCTTGGACTGAGCCCTGCCCACTTTGACCTCCCATATCTGGTACCCAGTGGTCAGAATAAGGCTTGTTGTCACTGACTCTAGAACACACCTTCCCAAGCTCCCAGATCTACAATGCAGGCTCAGGGGCTAGGAATGAAGACTCATTGTCATAGTCTGTTTGGGCTGCTGTAACAAAATATTGTAAGCTGAGGTGGTTTATGAACAACAGAAACTTACTTCTCACAGTTCTGGAGGTTGGGAAATCCAAGATCAAGGCCCCAGCAGATTCAGTGTCTGGTGAGGGTTTGCTTCCTGATTCATAGATTAGCTGTCTTTTCACTGTAACCTGACATCATGGAAGGGACAAGAGAGCTCTCTTGGGCCTCTTTTAAAAGGGCACTAATCCCATTCACGAGAGCTCTACCCTTATGACCTAATCACTTCCCAAAGGCCCCACTTCCTCATACTACACCTTGGGGATTAGAATTTCAACATAGAAATTTTGGGGGGATACAAATATTCAGTTCATAGCACTTATATGGCTTGAAAATATGTCAGTAATTTGCTATCTTGTTAATAAACATTTATTTTTAAAAGTTTGAGAATTATAAAATATAGGACAAAACCCTGGATCTTTCACTCCTATCCTTGATTTAATAAGGCTTCAGTACACAAAAATGTCATATATTTGCTTACAATTCACAAATTCTGTGGTGCCAATAATTTATGAATAGGGCATAACTAAGCAGCATAGAGAAGTCCTGGGAAGATTGGACATAGTGTGCCTGGCCTTTTAAAAGATAGCCATTTGAGCCGGGCACGATGGCTCATGCCTGTAATCTCAGCACTTTAGGAGGCTGAGATGGGAGGATCACTTGAGATCAGGAGCTCAAGACCAGCCTAGGCAACATAGCTAGACCTTGTCTCTACAAAAAAAAAAATAAAAAAAGAAAGAAAGAAAAACTAGCTGGGTTGTGGCAGTAGTCCCAGCTACTTGGCAGGCTGAGGTGGGAGGGATTGCTTGAGCCTTGGAGGTTGAGGCTGCAGCGAACCACAATTGCACCACTGCACTCCAGCCTAGGCAACAACATGGGACCCTGTCTTAAATAAATAAATGCATGAATGAGAGAGAGAGAGAGAGAGAGAGAGAGAAATAGAGAAAGATAGCCGTTTGAAATGTGAGGCCACTGTCAGAGTTGCAAGGGGCAATCTTAAAGGCTCCAAGAAAGGATTAACCAGTAGAAATTGTTAGCATTTTAGCCAGAGACATCACATCGTTGATTTAGTTCATCTAAGAACAAGGATGCCAGTAAGAACCAGCAGAGTTAGTTTCCAGAGGTTTCTGAAGCAGTAATATTCTGATGGGATTCCTTAGAAGAGAGTTGTGTGTTTCTATGAGAGCAATCCTTAAGATGGAGAGAGAAGCAAATCTGAATCCACGGTATCTGAGTGTAATTCCTTAATTAAGCTAATGTAATAGTCTGGTGAAGAAAACAGTTTCAGGTGGAGTTTGGACAGTCCTGGATTGACCATTGTTCTAATAGAAAAGCCTGTTGCTAGTCTAGTAAAGTAGTAAAGCTAAACTAAAAAATAAACTTGTCTACCAGTGATCCTGATATGATCACTCTGGAGACGTGAAGATTTGTAACGATAGTGTGCACACAGCACTCTGATTGAACACTAGGTTTTTAAGTAAACTGACTTAAATACCAGTATGCTGGGTAGTACTGTTTGGCTTTGCTTCATTTAGTAGGTGATGAATATTTTACTGTGTTTTTACATTAGTTCTGGCACATGGTAAGCCCTCAGTACATGCCTGCTGTTATGGTGATTATTATCACTTCCAGATCATCTCATGGCCACAACACGCCAGCTACTGACTACAACCTGCTGGCAATGGTAATAGTCTTCATTGGAATTCTGCAAAACCCCATCAAGAATTACCTAAAACTATCAAGATGATCTGTGGTTTTGCTTCCTCACTCTGCCAATATGGTGAATTACAGTAATTGATTTGTTTTGTAACATAGATTTTTATATGTTAAGCCAGTCTTACATTCCTAAAGTAAACCCCACTTGGTCATGTTGTATTACCTTGTTAAAATATGTTGCCAGGTTCAGCTTGGTCATTTACACTGGTAAGAAGTCAGGGGTGCTGTAATCCCAGCACTTTGGGAGGCTGAGGCGGGTGGATCATGAGGTCAGGAGTTTGAGACCAGCTGGACCAACATGGTGAAACCCCGTCTCTACTAAAAATACAAAAATTAGCTGGGCGTGGAGGCGTGTGCCTATAATCCCAGCTACTCAGGAGGCTGAGGCAGGAGAATCACTTGAACTGGGAGGCAGAGTTTACAGTGAGCCAAGATGGCACCATTGCACTCCAGCCTGGGGGACACAGTGAGACTCTGTCTCAAAAAAAAAAAAAAAAAAGAGAGAATTCAGGGCTGTATGGTCATGGAGTTGTCTTTGCAGGGAGGTTCTTAACTAGGAGTTGTTTATTTAATAGATGCAGAGCTATTTGGATTTTCTATTTCTTCTTGAGTCACTTTGGGTACATGTTATGACTGGATCTACTGCTCCCCCTACCCCCAGCCTGGGATGTGGCTGCAGCGGGGAAGCTGGCATAATAGCAGGGCTCCCCTCATTTGTTTCCCTTCTCTCAGGGTCACAGTCCAGTACTGCCTGTTGCCAGTGTCTGAAAACAGTCATTTCTTACATTGTGTCCAGCTTGCTAGATGTTTCTGGCAGAAGGGTGAGTCTGGGCTCTCTTCTACCGCCATGGTGAGAAGTGGAAGCTACATAAGCTTTCCTGGGCATTGAGTACAACAAATTGACTTGCTTCTGGTTGTTTCTCAGCCAGATCTATAAGTTTGGACTTAAAACTGTAGGTAGTTGAACTTTACTTGGGCTCAGTCTTCCTTTAAATCTTTGACTATATTCCAAGTTACAGTTTCGCTGTCTTTCATACAAAAGTAATATTACTTTTAGAAATTGGACTCTATGACTAAACCTTGCTTTTCTCTTCATTTAAGTTTCCTTCAGCATTCGAGTTTAATGAGCTATTCTTGATTACAATTTTGGATCACCTTTATAGCTGTCTTTTTGGGACCTTTTTGTGCAACTGTGAACAGCAGCGATTCAAAGACGTAAGTATACTGCGTCCTTGTCTGTTGCTTTCCGTGTGGCTCAGGCACCTCTTCTAGGAAGTGCCACTGTAGGAGGGCTGAGGGGAGGGAGGACTGTGCTCTGGTGCTATTGCTGACTGTAAATGCACTCCCAGGGTTCTGGCCAGCCCCACTGCATGTGTCTAACACAAGCCCCTTCCTTTCTAGGCACGGGGGGCTGGGACGCAGCGAGCCCATGGCTCTTTCAGGAGTAGATGAGTGCTAGACCCTGGACCTCCTGACTCCAAGTTCATGTAGTCTCCACTGCACCAACTCCAAAGCTGTGGGATTCTGCTTTTCGTCCTCTGTGGTGTTGGCCAGATTGTACTTGAAGGCCTTGGAAGTGGAGTCTGCCGATTAGCCAAAAAGCCCACTTTAGGTAGCAAGCTAACACTTTTTTACATCAAAGTAGTAAAGAAGCAGTTACCAAACTTTTCAGAGTTACGTCTCGCCTCTTTCTTTTTTCCTCAGTGTGGGATAGAAGAAAGACGTGGTCAAAAGTGAGAAGACATTGGAAAAAGGCAACTTAAGGAGTATGGTCCCGTTAATAGACAAGGACTACTGCCTGTGAGCCGAGTATGTTAGGACAATATAGAATTCAGGAGAAAACAGCCTGTCAGTAACACCCACCTCCCCCTCTCTCAGCAGCGTCCCCACAGTTGACAGCACCCTCATTCTGTGACCCCACCTTGTCCTGCCTCTTCCCTGCCTCCTTGGCCTCCCCTGCTCAGTCTCCTCTGACTGGCTGCCATTTTAACCAGTCTCTAAAGTTGGAGTCACCTGGGCCCAGTCCCAGGTCCTCTTCTCCCCTCAACTCTTGTTCTGTCTTTCTAGGTGACTTTGTCTTGCCTCAGGGACCTAAATGCCTTTTCCTGCTCCTCCCCTACTCAGTACACAGCACCACTGGCTATCCAGATGCCAAGGCCAAATACACAGGAGTCAGCTTCCACTCCTCCCTCACCCTCACTCTGGCTACCACACCCAGTCCCTTGGTGAATGCTGCTGACCTTGTCCTAAAGTATATGTATATATGTATATATATGTGTATATATATATATATATTTTTTGAGATGGCGCTTTGCTCTTGTTGCCCGGGATGGAGTATAGTAGTACGATCTCAGCTCACTACAAGCTCTGCCTCCCGGGTTCAAGCGATTCTCCTGCCGCAGCCTTCCGAGTAGCTGGGATTACAGGCACCCACCACCACATCTGGCTAATTTTTTGTATGTTTAGTAGAGACAGGATTTCGCCATGTTGGGCAGGCTGGTCTTGAACTCCTGACCTCAGGTGATCCACCTGTCTCAGCCTCCCAAAGTGCTAGGATTACAGGCCCAAAGTATATTCTTAATCTGCCACTTCTTAACTGCCTTACAGCTATAAGCCTAGCTCAAGCCCCTACTGTCTCATGCCCCTACTGTCTCACATCTGGACTAAGGCAGAAACCCAGGAATGGGCTTCCCTGATTCTCTTTCTGACCTTCAGTAGTCCATTCTAAACATAGCAACCAGAGGGAGCATTCAGTAACTGAAATCTGATCATGTGCCTCTCCCCTGCTTCCCACTGCAGTTAGAGTAAAATCCACACTGCTGCAGGCCCAGCGTGATGGGGACTTGTTAACCTCCTAATAAAAACAAAAACATTTTTAAAAGAGTGATTTTATGTTATGTGAATTATATCTCAAAGCCATTTAAAACAAATAAAACCAGAAACAGAAGAATGAAGTTCATATATAGACTTTTAACCATGGTTTTATCTTTTTTTTTTTTTTTTTTGAGAGG